AACTTTAACTATTAATTTTCCGTCGCCGATTCTTGTAAATTCTATTTTTCTCTTTTTCCTCTACTTCCTCTATATCCTTTATTTTTACTTTGAAATGTTCACACTTTTTCTTGAAATTTATTAATTGGACTGCACAAGGGGCTTGTTCGGTTATCATTAGCTTATTACTTCTTCAAGATAGTTTTGAGTTATTCATAGGAATGGGAATAGGAAATAGTTGGTAATAATCATATCCTGATTTAACTAAAGTAATCTCTAATACAAATGTAATTACCTATAGAATTTACTGAGTAGCTCTTAATATTTATTATTTTCTCATACTGAATTATTTTTTCTAGTGCAGTAAAGGCATTAATATTGAGTTTGTCTGAGGTTTTGCTTTCTTTATTTCATTTAAAAGTTCTACTGGGTTTTCTATAGAATTATCCAAGTTATTTTTTTCTGCAAAAGAGATTGCAGGTTCTACTTTTTCAAAAATATCGTGGATTGTTTCTAGTAAAGCATACTATTTTCAAATAAGACTAATTAATTCTTTATAGCTTCCATTTTTGCGTTTAGAATCAATTAATTATGTGATATGCAATAAAGATATTTGTCTTAGGGAATTGACTTTTAGGCTATTTTGATTATGTTGATAATAATGTCATTTGTTTTATTTCATTTTCTATTTTTCTAATTCTGCATAATACCTTATTTGATATCTGAAACTTGTGCATATTTTTAGCTTTATTTTTCAATAAATTAAATTCTTGTAAGATGTTAGATGAATTTAAATTGTAAATTTGAATAAATTTTCAATGTGTAGAAAGTTACTTTAGAGTTAAGTCTAGTCTCTTGCGTTGATGGATCCGACTGCTCCGAGGATTCCGACGATAAATCTGAAATATGAGGCACTATTTTAGTTTCATTTATGTGGACTATTATCTTCTTTTTACTGTTGTGATTTCCCGTTTTTATTCTCCCATTGTCTAATATTTGTGTACTTATATATGCTCCGGTATCTTTTCGAATTAATTTTCCTCCGTGAGTTTCTGTTTTTCTATAAACTTAACGAGAAACTTTTGAGTTCTTATCTTATGTATATTTATTTCTTTTTCTAATCATTTTTAAAGTTTTTAAATTTTTTTCGTGTATACCTACTTGTGTAGAGAGCTTGAATATTATTTTAATATGTATTATAATATTATATTATAACATATATTTTGTAAAAGCTTGTGCTGGAATAAGTCTCATATTATCTTTACACGTTGCCCGTTCAATTCATTTTAATTTTGTAAGATATTTACGCCATACATTCTAAAATGTTGATATAGTCGTTAGAAATATACAGTTGATATCAAAATATATGTCTATTTCTGGCTAATTTAAAATAGAAACAATAACTAAAAGTGCTTTAAGTTGATTAAAATATTGTTAATGAATTCTGGAGAATGAATAACTTTGGCATGTTTCATTAAACCATGGTTAATAGTTTATTTTTGATAAATCTTCTATAATATCATGCTAGTCATAAAAATGACTTTCTTTTTGTGTAGTAGGAATAGGAAAGTCTTTGATTGCGTTTATCTTATCTGGAGCAATACTACAGTAAGGCATACTTCCTGTAACATTACTTTTTTTTGCCAGTTATAGGCTTCAATATTTTGCCTTCGTACCTTTCACCATTGGTAATATCGAACCCCATGTAAGTAAATTGCCTAACCGCTTTGTCTCCTGACATATTTTTTACTGCAGCTTATTTATTTTTGTTGTGCTACCGATGGACACTATTTTGGTCTTTTGTATAGTTACCTTTAAGTTATGTTCTTCTCTTACCACATTCAGTTAATTCAGTGTTCTAGATCTTCTGTGAGGAAGCCAACATTATGTTTTATAAGCGTATCAGAAGCTGATCATTTGTCCAATTTTTTAAAATAAAATTTGAAAAAAATAATTAAATATGATAGTGTACCAAAAAAATGTGAATTTAACACTTAACATTTAGCTGTCACTGCTAATGCATTTTCAGTAATTTTGTCATCATTTTTCTTATAATTTTAATTCTTTCATATTTATGTTTAACAGTATTACATTGTTTAAGTCTTAATACAATAATCTATTTTAGGGTAAATCTGTAAACCAAAAACCAGTGAAATTAAATTTATCAGTGATTCTGAACAATAAGAAAAAGAGAGGTAAGAATTACTCACAGATATGTAATAAATTTAGGATTTTAAGAAATTTAGGTGCTTCTTAATAATATTTTATACTTAAACAGAAGAAGGAAGTCATAGGTCAAACAGACATTTTTGTAAATGAAATTACTGGAACATTTGAAACATGAAGTACCGAATACACTGTTGCTTGTTGACATGACTAAAGGCCGTTTTTGCTATTATTTGTGCCTTTGGCAATCATTGTATCGTTTCACTAATTCTGCAATATATCTTTTCGTAATTTGTTACAAAAACAATATCAAAAATATCAAAATCATTCATTATTGGTCTTCTTAATTTTTCCCATGTTTCCATCCTTTTCTTTCTTTTGCAGGTTCTAGTAGCTTGTACTCTCTTCTCGATAAAAATGTTTCTGCTATTTGATATTTCTTTGTAGTTGCTCAAATATTGCTTACCTTTTTTCCTTTACTGCTACTATGCAATTACCTTATTCCCATTCAGTATTTCTTTCTGTCTTGGCTTCTCCGACAGTTTTGTTTGCAGATTTCGTTGACTGTTTTTAACTGTCTTTTTTATATCCACAAGATAATGACCTGAGCAGAGTTCGCTCCGCAATATATCATATATTAGTTCTATGTTACCTTTTTTTTGAGATGTGGTCAATTTTATTGGCTTCATTGGTTATTACTGACGATTACAAAATCCATGTTGACTGCTTTCACAAGTAAACAATGTTTCGCACATACGTTTACAAGAAGCCTTTTCCCAGCTTAGTATTAAATTGCCTACATCATGTCTTTGGATTTGGTCGCATACTTTCCTGTAGATCTAAATAGAATCTCTCTACCTAATTTTCGTCATCAACCTCCGTCAGTTCATATATTTGACCATTGTCACGTTGTAATACAATTACTCTTTTTTCACCTTGTCCAGTATTGTTTCCGGAGTATAGTGAGAATTTATTTTTATCGACTATCTTCCTGGCCCTTTGATCTGATTTCCTGCAGTACCAGTATTTTAACTACGTATTTTCCAAGTTCGTCTGCCAAACTTATCATATATCCCCTTTAAGATGATTCGTACATTTTAGGTTCCAAATTTTAATTCCATGATCTTATCTATTTTTCTTTGCTGAGTTCGTCGTTGTGAGGATTATCCTACCTTCCACTGGGGGTTGGTTTTCCGATCCCCAGTGAGGTTTGCTAGGATACTAGTGTATACCAACTTGGTGATAAAGATAGGGATTAAGTAGGAGAGACTAAGTGGTACCAACACCATGCGGCATCATATATCGCGTTTCACTACCACTTTCACACCTTTAGTTAATCTAATACTAAGATTAAAGTAAACCTTTTTCTTACAGAAAATCAAACTAAGTTCCATTTTTAGAAAATACTTTCTTTTTCCCAATATTCATCATCATCAGTTGGCGCTACAGCCCTTCGTGAGCCTTGGCCTGCTTCAAAACATTCTTCCATCCTTCCCTATCGAGTGTCTGTCTTCTCCAGCCCTTTACTCCAATCTCCCTCAGATCTTCCTGTACATCGTCCAGATATCTGAGTTTAGGTCGCCCCCTTCTTCTTCTTCCGACCGGCCTGTTTAGCATAGTTATTTTAGTGGGATCACTCTCATCCATCCGCATAACGTGGCCCACCCACCTCAAGCGGTTTATCTTGATGATCTTCACAATATTTGCATCACCAAAAAGTCTATAGAGTTCAAAGTTATATCGCCTTCTCCACAGACCCTGTTCGTTTACTTCGCCATATATGGTTCTCAATACTTTTCTTTTAAAGGCTCGTATTAACTCTTCATCTCGGGTCGTTATTGCCCATGTTTCCGGTCCGTATGTGAGCACTGGGCGTATTATTGTTTTATAAAGTTTGCACTTTGTTGCTATTGACACACTTCTTGCTCTTAGTTGAGGGCCCAGGCTGAAATAACAGCTGTTAGCCACGCATATTCTTTTTTTATCTCGTTGGATGTGTTATTTTTGTAGTCTACCAGTGATCCTGAGTAGCAGAATTCTTGCGCCATTTCTATCGTTTCGTGTTGCACCTCTAAGTTATTTTGTTGAATTTTTGATATGGCCGGCATATATTTAGTTTTGTGGTTGTTGATCAGAAGTCCGATATTTTCTGCGACATTTTTGAAACGTGTGAAAGCCTCCACTGCTTCATTTTGGGTTCTTCCAATTATGACGATATCATCAGCGTATGCCATTATTTGTATACTACGGGTATATATCGTACCTTTTAAATTTATTCCAGAATCTCTCATAACTTTTTCTAACGCTAGGTTGAACAGCGTGCACGATAGCGCGTCTCCCTGGCGCAGTCTGTTGGTTTTAAATGGTTTTGAAACATCCCCTTGTACGCGCACTTTACATTCGACTTTCATCATTGTCATTTTAATTAATTCAACCAAACCTTTTGGTATTCCTAATTCTATCATCGCCGAATATAATTGGGACCTGTCAATAGTATCGTACGCTGCCTTAAAGTCTACGAAGATGTAATGGAAGTCTATGTCGTACTCCGTCGTTTTTCTAATATTTGTCTAATGAATGATATGTGATCAATGGTAGATTTGTTTTTCAAGAAGCCTCTTTGATAGGATCCTATTATATTGTCAGTATACCGTGCCAGTCGTTCGTTAAGTATCAGGGACACAATTTTGTATGCTGTTTTTTCCAATATTCATTCAAATTTAAATTCATCTTAAGATTATCTGTAAAGTAGACAATATTGCATCACTCCATATATTTTAATAATCTGATACATAATTTTGTATTTTTTTTATTTAGAAGAAACCACCGTTACTAGTTCTAATGAGGTTACGCAAATGTTTCCTGATTCACAAACCGAAATGCAGCATACCAGTGACCACGATAAAAATGAAATTAATCAGATAAAGTTAAACCTAAATATTTCTGATATTAGCGGTGAAAAGACTCATACTAGTGAGTCTTTTGAACCCGTTTCCTCGAGTACTGATGGCTTAAATCAAAGTGGGTCAAGCCCGAGAAAAATGTTAAGTAAAATTAGACTGTCCATTAACAATGGAGAAGATATTGAAGATTTTTTAGTTTTTTATATAACGCCAAAAGAGGAACAGTCGACAGCCATTAAGGATGTTTTAAACATCATTGATAAACTAGAATTGACTGGAGTACAAAGCAAACATTTGTGGGAAAATGTCTTTGAAAGTCTTCAAAACAGCGATACATATGTAAGTGACAAAGAAAAAATAGCGACAATTCACGAATTAATTAAGGAGAAATATAGATTGGCCTTAGAGGTGGATGACGACCAAAATCAATATTGTCATGCATCTGGTAATCAATGTACCAATTTGCATTGCTATGGAAGAAACCGTACTTCAACTACTTCAATATTGAATAAACCCGATTCTACGCTAAAGCTAGAAAGTGCACTGCATCCACAGAACGTACTAGAAGATTGCCTTTTAAAAGTTGGACCTAGTTTGACAGAATATAGTCCTATTACACCAAGGTACGAAAAATTGTTTTCAACGACACCTTTCACGAATACTAGGAATGCGACTGGGGTAAGTTAAAAACAGTTATTTTCATTTTGTGATATAATTAAACACATTTGAACTTAATTATTTACGGATAAGAATATACTGGACAATATGTCGATAATTTTTAAAATAGAGTTTTTGATCCGTGCCCAAAAATACTAAGTCTAGGGGCAAAGGAAGCTTTCGTGGCCGATTGAGGTCTATGAGGTTTTACAACTGATTTTTATGTATGTTTACGCGCTTACTCCGAATCTTCTGTGTACCGGGTGGTCCAATAAGCCGATCTCTCGGCTATATATCAGAAACTATTCATGTTATAACTTTAGGAGAAAAAATTCCTTAGTAAAAGTGGCCAAGAGAAATCGCTGGAAATAACTTTCAAGATTCTGGATTAACCGCTAGGGGGCGTAACCTGCGAAGAAAATTTTGAAAACCAGTTTTTTGGGAAATATGTCCAATTATACCAAGTGTTAAATAAGTAAACTAGAAAGAGGCATAAATTCTGCACAAAGTTGTTCAAGTACTTTTTTTTATTTTTTCAAATAAAGGGTGGGGAGAGTGGGAAAGTATTTGTGGATAAATACCTATAACTTTGGTTTGGATCAACCGATTTTAACAAAATTAGTGTCATTAGAAAGAGTATGGATGAGTTAATTTACATCTACTATAAAATAATTGCATTTAGTTTTAATTGTCGTAGGTAGAGGGTACTTTCGAATAGAAAAAATTAAAATTTGTTTTTTCTTCAAATTTTTAATGGAAACACCTATTTATTGTAAATTATAATGGAACTGGACTAAATTCGTAACAAAATGGCGCAAACCGCATGTTAATAGCTTTTATCGAACTCGAGATATGAATAAAAACGCATAAACATAAGTAAGTATAGTATTGACACACCCTGTATTATAAAATAAATTAAAAAATAAGTCAGTAGGTACTTTCAAAATTTTTTATAGCAGAAAACTCTTAATGTTGATACCTATTTTGACCATTGTTATTTCATATGATTAAAAATTGTTTTTTCGAAACTAAGTAGGCTACGACAATGAATTTGACAGGGAGTTCATATTGTTTATTTATTGACAGCAGTCAAAATATTGTTAAGAAGTGTTATATGTATTATAATTCGAATTGAAAATTGCATTTTTTTCAATAGATATTAATATTGGTAATATTAGTAATTAATTATCAGTACTAATAATTCGTGATGAGTATATCAAATTGTATGATATGATTGGAGTTTATTTCGAATATCACCAAAATGGCGCTATTGCCTCACGTATATATTCTGTAAGATATCCTGGCAGGAGATATTGTGGCAAAGAAGTAGAGATTTCGGACTACTTATATGTGGATTCTGTTGAATTAAAGCAAGAACATTGATTGAATTATCTTCGGTCATAACTCTACTACGTCGTTTAAAACAAGGACGAGAAAAACTACCAGTTTCTCTTAATCTTTTTGCCTTTCTTTCAAATACTTCTTTGCCATAATGTCTCCTGTCAGGATATCTTACAAAATATATACGTGAGGCAATAGCGGCATTTTGGTGACATTCGAAATAAACTCCAATCATATCATACAATTTGATATACTCATCACGAATTATTTGTACTGATAATTAATTACTAATATTACCAATATTAATATCTATTGAAAAAAGTGCAATCTTTAATTCGAATTATAATATAGCACTTCTTAACAATGTTTTGACTGCTGTCAATAAATAAACAATATGAACTCCCCGTCAAATTCATTGTCGTAGCCTACTTAGTTTCGAAAAAACTATTTTTTACAAAATAGGTATCAACATTAAGATTCTTCTGCTATAAAAAAATTTGAAAATACCTACTGACTTATTTTTTAATGTAATTTATAATACAGGGTGTGTCAATACTATACTTACTTATGTTTATGAGTTTTTATTCATATCTCGAGTTCAACAAAAGCTATTAACATGCGGTTTGCTCCATTTTCTTACGAATTTAATCCAGTTCCATTATAATTTACAATAAATAGGTGTTTCTATTAAAAATTTTAAAGAAAAACAAATTTTAATTTTTTTTATTTGAAAGTCCCCTCTACCTACGACTATGAAAACTAAATGCAAGTATTTTATAGTAGATGTGAATTAATTTATCCACACTCTTTCTAATGACACTAATTTCATTAAAATCGGTTGATCCAAACCAAAGTTATAGGTATTTATCCACAAATACTTTCCCACTCTCCCCCACCCTTTATTTGAAAAAATAAAAAAAAAGTACTTAAACAACTTTGTGCAGAATTTATGCCGCTTTCTAGTTTGCTTATTTAACACTTGGTATAATTGGACATATTTCCCAAAAAACTGGTTTTCAAAATCTTCTTCGCAGGTTACGCCCCCTAGCGGTTAATCCAGAATCTTAAAAGTTATTTCCAGCGATTTCTCTTGGCCACTTTTACTAAGGAATTTTTTCTCCTAAAGTTATAACATGAATAGTTTCTGATATATGGCCGAGAGATCGGCTTATTGGAACACCCGGTACATGATCTAATTTTTGAACAGGTATTTGTTATTACCAATTAATCTTTTAAAGCTTTTTAGTAATAAACTAATAAAGTTATACTGTTTACTGTTTATAACTCTCGTTTATTACTCATTTATTGTTATAATGTTTTAAAATCCGTCTTTTTTCTTTTACAAAAATAAACCAAACAAACTTTCAAACATTAAAATTGGTCTATTAGAAGCTGAGATATTGCAAATTTATTTCTTTTTCTTTTTATGTAGACATCTCTGTCTGTTTTCCAATGTGCCTTCAGTAAGTTGTCGATCCATCGTTTTCGTGGTCTTCCCACTGATCGTCTTCCTATTGGGGAACCGTATCTTGCTTTCTTCACTGGTCTATTTGTTGTCATTCTAATTATATTATCATTCTATTTTATTCTTCTATTTTTTACCTAGTCCTTGATGTTCTTCATCTTGCTCCTTCGTTGTATATATGTACTGCAGCAGAGAAGTGTTTTCATCTCTGCTGTTTCTAACACTCTTTTTCTCGTCTCTGTTACAGGTCGTGTTTCTGTCGCACATGTCATTAATAGTCTGATGACTGTTTTGTAAATTCTGCCTTTTATTTCTTTCCTGACATTTTTATTTCTCTATATTGTTTCATTTAGGCCACGTGCGGTTTTATTTGCTCTATCCACTTAATCTTTCACTTTTGTTTCGAGCTTTTCTTAGCTAGATAATATGAAGCCTAGATGTTTAAACTCCTTCACTTGTTATATTATCTGACCTATATATATTTATATATATATATATGTATATATATATAAGCGAGGTTCCTACAGCCTCTGCCGTTTCTCGCATTTCGACCGCCATCGTTTTCTGTCCATCCATTCGTCTTCTCTGATGGCTCTATCTCTCATTATGTGCCGTACATTTTCTTCCCAGGCAACTGAAGGCCTTCCCCTTCTTCTTCTTTGTTGTGGTATGTAATTTAAAGCTTTCTTTGGCCATCTATCTTCATTCATTCGTTTCACGTGACCATACCACACTAGTTGTCTCGTTTCAATTCTATCTACACTGGAATATACAGTATTTGTCCTCCTTCTAATATCTTCATTCCTGATGTGATCTTTTTTGGATATACCACACGCTCTCCTTAGAAAATCCATTTCTACTACTTCTATTCTTTTTCTATCCTTCTGCGTTATCTGCCAAACCTCTGCCCCATAAGTCATAATAGGCTCTACCAAGGTTCGATAGATTGTCAATTTCGTTTCTTGTCTAATATCTTTAGACCAAAGTAGAGAGTTTAGAATGTTTACCACTTTTTTTCCCTGCTGTGTTCTGTTTTCGATGTCTCTTTTGGTAGTGCCTTCTTTAGATATTATAGATCCGAGATATTTATATTCATTGCATGTTTTTGTGTTTCTAATTTCTAACTCTGGATCTTCTTCACCATCTCCTATTTTAAGATACTCTGTCTTTGCCATATTCATATTGAGGCCCCATTTTTCATATTCTTTCTTTAGTTTTCTAAACATGTAGTCCATGTCTTCCTCGTCATTCGCTACGACTACCTGATCATCTGCGAAAAATAAAGCTGTTAGACATTCACCACCGCCTATGTCTATTCCCATTCCGGATACTTGTTTTCTCCACTGCTCTAGCGATGATTGAATATATATTTTAAACAGGGTCGGAGACAGACAACATCCTTGTTTAAGCCCCTTGGTTATTGGAAATGATTCAGATATAAAGTTTCCTTCTTTAACGACACTTCTTGCATTTTTGTATATATTTGCGATAGCATCCACATACTCTCTACTGAGACCTACTTTCGTCAATGTATAAAATAGTTTTTTCAAAGGTACCGTATCATATGCCTTCTCTAAATCTACAAACAATAGGTGGGTAGATAGATTCCTTGCCTTCCGTTTTTCGATTACCTGCTGCAGAACGAATATATTATCAATGCACGATCTTCCTGCCCGAAATCCATTTTGTTCCTCTATGTCTTCATATTCTGATTCAATTCGTTTTTTTATTATTCGACCGTACAACCTCCCAACTGAGCTAGTAACAGTTATTCCTCTATAATTAGAGCAATTGCGTTTATCCCCTTTTTTGTATATTGAGCTGATGTATCCAACATTCTAATCATCAGGGATATTTTGTCCTTTTAAGCATTTATTAAATAGTTTAACCATCATCTCGTGTAATATTTTTGGTCCATACTTTACCAAGTCAATTAGGATGTCTCCAGGTCGTGCTGCTTTACCGTTTTTCGATCTTTTGAGGGCATCGCTTAACTTTCCGGTTGTTATCTCAATTATTTGTGTATGTTCAGATATTTCTTCCATTTCGATATCTTGGAATTTACGTCTATCCTCTGTCAATAAGACCTCATGATGCTGTTTCCACTGTTTCAGATCTATTAATTTTAAGTTAGATTTTTCCTTTCCTTCCCTCCGGAGAGACTTTATCACCTTCCAGCTTCAATTTACATCTTAGTATTACATCAAATTAAGATGTTAAATTTGATGGCGATATTAAATTGGTGCAACATACGTTGTAAATCATCATCTATTTTCAATCTTTTTGAATATTCCTAAAGGTATCTTTCTTGCGTACAATAAGTGGATAACTTCGGTTATTTCTTGGTCCCTTGAGTTGAACGACCCGATATTCCATGTACTTAAGTCACATCTGGGTTTTGCATATTCTTCGCTTCTGCTTATTTGTTGCCGTGCTGATCCTGTTCTGAGGCTGTAAATTGTTTCTTTGAGCAATATTTGTTTTTACGGTTGGTACGTTGCTAAACTTGCCAATCATTCTTCACATTTTATTCTAGCGTGGGCCCGGCTATGGTAACTCAATACACCACGCAATTACATCAGGCAGTGTTTTGTTGCGATTTTATTATCAAAAGATAACAAATTATTGAATATATTAGACATTTTTGCTTAACTTTGCTTTTACTCATCGTAAAAATCTTTGCACCTCATTTTAAAGCTATGATTATAACCTTTAAAAAGGTAGTTAGTATTACAAAGTATGAGTACAGCCTGGGTGTACGACTGCTGCAAAAACTGCATCAAAATAAGTTTAGTAAATCTGATTTTTCATCTACTATATTTTACTTGTGGTAAATATTATTTATTTACATTATTAATTTATTGCAGACTGACAAAAGCGTAGGTTTTGATGCAATATATGAACATGGTAGCGAGCGTAGCGACACAGAAAGTATTGGTACTAGCAATATATCTGTTCTCATTTCTGAGTCAGATGATAAAACCGCCGAGAATTCAATTTCCATTTACAGAAACAAAAACAGAAACTGCGAAAACGCTGATGATCGGCGTTTAGAAGAAAATATAAATATTTTGACCAACCACAAAACACATAATTTACTTAAAAAGTATGCTACGCAAAATGAGCTGATCAATCAAAGTTCGAGGGCCGTGAATGTGTGTAGAAGTTATCCAGACTTTTTTGATCCACAGGTCATCGTGGAATCTGAAAAGATTTTATTGTTAGCAAGTAAGTGCCTAATCTCTTATTTTTTAATTATACCAATTTTTTACCATGCATTAACATTTTTTTCTAAAGAATGTTATCTTTAAAACATATTCTTTATTTTTCATAGATTTCAAAAGATTATCACAAAATTGTGTCATTCGTCTGATATTGGCATCGGTTTGTAGATTATTTACATCTCTTATAAATTTTTATATAGTACTTTACTTTTTTATCTAACTAAGCGTCTTTTATTTAATCTTCTATTTTATCCTAACCTAACCTAACTACAGTAGTTAGTTCTTCCTAGGTTTTTCTCTAACAACTTTTCTATTTCTCTCCTTATTTACTAATTTAAGGTTCATGATAGAAGACAATTAAAATTCTGGCTAAAAACATACAAAATTTCATGTCATCTTGCAGATCATGTGTCCATCTATCTGTTCTTCGCTGATTTTCTTTTTCCAGCGATGTCTCCAATACTAAAGGTTTCTGCTTTTCTTATAAGCGTCTGTGTCTTCAACTCTGCTTAGTCGCGAATATTTTTTCAGCTAGGATATTATTTGTCGTCTACCGGACCCTTTTTCTTTCGATATTGCCCTTCATAATCAGCTGCAACAACTCGTACTTCTCATTTCTAAGTATGTGTCCCAAATATGCTGTCTTTCTCCTTTTAATGGTGGACAAAAGTTTTCTGTTTCTTCTCATTCTGTGCAACAACATTTCATTCGGATTGATCGATCGACCTCTGAAGTCAAACGAGGTTTAAAACAAGCTCCACATAAATCCAGTTTTTAGGTGTTAAAAAGCATCAAACTAATTACAGTTTTACTTAAAAAGTGAATCTAAGTGATTTTTCTCACCACAATTAAATCCACGTAAACAAGAATCAATTTTGGTTATAAAGCAACAACTTTTTACTGCTACCGTTTATCAGTTCTGATATCGAGGGGACAGGACCGGACTAGGTCTTTGAGAATTATCGATGATAATAATTAAAAATGGATAATTTTCCGCCTCTTGGGGCCCCTGAACAAGAACTGGAGCAAAGTTCATCAAATACAAATATGAAACAATCCTTTGCAACTGTCACAAATCAAAATGTACCTAAATTTCCATCCAAAACACAAGCAATAGTTTTTCCTGCGTTGGAAAATACAAAGTTGGAAGACTATCTATTTGCAGTTGGTGATTTAATGCATCCAAAAAATATTCTCTTCTCCTCTAGAATGTCAAATGGTCGAATTTGCATTTATCTAACAAGCGAAACTTTAGTTAACAATTTTCTACAAATTAACAAAGGGATAATAACTGTAAACCATCAAAAAATTCAGGCTCGTAAATTAATGTCACCAAATGAAAGATTATTGATATCAAATGTTTGTCCTTCAATCCCACATTCAATTATTGAAAATGCACTTTCTAATTTGGGATTAACTTTGGTAACTCCAATAAATTTTCTAAAAATTGGTACATCAAATCCTAATTACAAACACATTTTCAGTTTCAGAAGGCATACTTTTATTTCTCCCCCAGTCTCATCAATACCCGACTCAATAATTGTGAATTACGAAATGACATCATATCGTATATTTCTTGTAATGGAGAAGGATCTATGTACTAATTGTAGGCAAGCGGGACATTCGGCTGGAAATTGCCCAACTACTAAAGAAACTCAAACATCTCAAGCACAAAATGCTGCTCCAACTACTTCAACTGATCCAGTAGACAATGAATACATTCCCCTAACGCAAAACATATCTTCCTCGGCTCCTATACTATCGACTAAACCGGATATCCATATTTTACCATCTACTCATGTTAAAGAAAGCACTGATTTTCAACAAATGTCCCACGATCCTCCCTCAAACAAACGAAATCGCTCTGAAATTATAACCCCTCCACCAAATGATACTCCAGTAAATAACCCCTTTCCAGACCCTAAATTAAAAAAGCCAAAGTCTTCAATCACAAACATAGGAACCATTAAAGTAACTGACGATATAAAAAATTCAGCTAGACGAATATATGAAGATACTTCAGTAAACCATTCAATATCTTATGAAACATTAGTAGATATACTGGAAAATGCTCATGGTACTCCTGACCCAGTAAGCTTAATAAAAACGTATACAAATGATCTAGAAAACCTATTGAAACTTTTAAATCAACTACATGAGAATTTATCAAATAGGAAATCAAAAAATAGATGCACTAGACTTCGAAACAAAATACTTAAATCCATACAATCAGAAACTAACACCGAATCCGATAACGAAATTGTAAAAGATATATTATAATGGCTTTCTCAATTATCCAGTGGAACCTACGAGGATATTACACTCGCCTTGAGATATTACAACAAATGATTAAAAAACTTACTCCATCCATACTCTGTTTACAGGAAACTCATTTTAAAAATACTAAAGTTCATAATTTAAAACACTACACATGCACATATAAAAATAGAGAAAATGTAGACCATGCTAGTGGTGGCGTAGCAATTTACACTCATTCATCCATCGATGTAGACATTCTTCAAATCAATACACAACTGGAAGCGGTCGCAATTACTATCAAAGGGCCTGTAAAAATGAACATATGTAATATATACATTCCACCTACACAAAACCCAAGCAATAATGAAATCTCAGACTTGATTAAACAAATACCTTCACCTCGTCTAATAGTTGGAGATTTTAATGCACATAATTACATATGGGGATCAAAAATAATTACTCCATTAGGTCGTAGAATCGAAATAATGTTGGACAATTTTCAGTTAAACCTACTAAACGATGGAAGAAATACTCATTTTGACATTTCTACTGGTAAATCCTCTGCCATAGACCTTTCAATATGTGATCCAGCATTATCAGCTACCTTATCTTGGGATGTACTTTCTGATTTAAATGATAGTGACCATTTTCCGATTGTAATAACAAATCCTGACAGTATACAATACTCTTGTAATGTTGAAAAATGGAATATCAAAAATGCAAATTGGCAAGAGTATTATAATCTAGTTTTAAATGAAATGAATGCATTACATGAAATTTTACAATCAAATAATAATATTGATAGTCAAATTCAAGAGTTTTCCAATGTATTATTGAATGCTGCCGAAAAAGCCGTTGGTAAAATGAATCCTAAACAATTAAATTCGTCAGTCCCTTGGTGGAATTCTGAATGTCAAGAAGCTATTAAACTTTCAAAAACAGCATTAAATCGATTCAGGAAATATAATACACTTGAAAATAAATTAGAATTCAAACGACTAAAAGCACGAGCTAGATTTATAATTAAAAGAAGTAAACGTGAATCATGGAAAAAGTTTGTTTCAGAATTAAATTCATCTACACCAATTAATAAAGTATGGCAAATGGTACGAAAGATATCCGGGAAAAATACCCCAAACCACATTAACTTCTTAGAAGAAAAACAAAAAATATACACTTCCCCTCTAGACATAGCTAATATTCTAGCTAATAGTTTTGAAAGATTCTCAAGTGATAATGTTCTTCCTCCAGATTTTTTGACCAAAAAAGAGAAAGAGGAATCCAAAGGTATTGATATACCGCCTGATGACCTTTCTCCTTTAAATTATCCCATAACCATGGATGAATTAGAATACTCACTCAATAATACAAAAAACTCTTCTCCCGGTCCTGATAACATTCCTGCAATATTTCTTCAAAAACTTCCTTCATCTGCAAAGAAACACTTGCTGAATATCTATAATAATATATGGAGATATAGCAAGTTTCCAAAAATCTGGAGTTCATCTATTGTCATCCCTATTTATAAACAAAATCAACCAAAATCTCTGTCACATTCATATAGACCTATTTCTCTAACTTGTGTAATGTGTAAAGTTCTCGAGAAAATCATATCCAACAGATTAATGTGGTTTTTAGAAAATAATAAATTACTTGCCCCGGAACAAAGCGGATTCCGAAAAAGTCGTTCAACACTGGATAATCTTATTAGTTTAGAGTCTGAGATTCATGAAGCAATGGCATGTGGACAAAAATGTATCGCAATATTTTTTGACATAACAAGAGCATACGATACAGTTTGGCGACATGGTATTGTTCAAACACTTAGTCGATGGGGAATAAAAGGTAATATAGCACAATTCATAAAAAATTTCCTATCTCATCGAACTTTTAATGTACGAGTTAACGGTACTTTATCTAATACAAAAATTCAAAAAAACGGAATTCCTCAAGGATCTAATTTAAGCGTCTCCCTATTTCTTATTGCAATAAATAATATTATCTCCACTTGTGACTTACCAGTAAAAGCTAGACTCTTTGCAGATGACTTAATCATTTTTGTTAAGGGGATAAATGATAAAACCCTTCAGACCCATCTACAGAAAGTGCTATGGAATCTCGAATTATGGACAAATTCTACAGGTCTTCAATTATCAACAACAAAATCAAAGGCTATGCTATTTTCAAAAAAAAGAAGTTATATCACTCCAGAATTAAAACTATTTAATAAAGAAATAAAATATGTTGAGAAAATTAAATGTCTAGGCATGACATTTGACAACAGATTATCCTGGAACCACCACATTCATGATCTAAAAAGTACTTGTCAATCTGCACTTAACATTATAAAAACTGTTGCACACAACACGTGGGGAGCAGATAGTAAAACACTGACCCTTATGTACAAGTCATTGATCAGGTCCAAACTCGACTACGCTTGTATTATTTATGATTCAGCAAAACCATATATCATAAAACAACTCGATCGAATACAAAATAGTGCTTTGCGAACTATACTAGGTGCTTTTTATACTAGCCCTACTGAAAGTTTACACTGTGAAGCTGGAGAAGTCCCCCTGGAATTCCGAAGAAAACAACTTTCACTAACATATGCGGCATCAATACAGGCAAATCCTATGAATCCTGTTAATCACTATGTAAATTCAGACCGTTTTAGGAATATCTTTAAAACTCATGCTAGGCTTGACCTTCCTTTTTATGAAAGGGTAAATAGATACCTCAATGAACTTGAATTCAAATTTCAAGATATCTATTGTATACCCGATATTAACACTGTTCCCCCTTGGACTGTTCCCATCCCATCTATCAATACCAAACTCTCCATATATAAAAAAGCAGATAACCATCCCAAAGCATTATATCAATATGTCCTCCAAGAATTCAAGACATACAGTAACCATACACTTATATATACCGATGCCTCTAAAACTATAGATGGAGTGGGAGCAGCATTTATGTCTAATAAAACAAAAATATTAATGAAACTCCCTAAATTAACATCCATTTACACAGCCGAATTAACTGCTATTCTCAATGCAATAAATTTTGTGGTAGAAAATAGTATCAAAAACCCTGTCATTATTACGGATTCCCTAAGTTCTGTAATTGCCCTAAATAACTTATATCCTAGTCATCCAAGTCTACTACTTATTAAATCAGCATTAAGCCAACTGCAAACTATGAACATAAATGTCAACTTTGTATGGATTCCTTCCCATATTGGAATTGCTGGTAACGAAGAAGTAGATTCCTTGGCAAAACTAGCAATCTCGAGTCCGGAAGCTGTAGAAATCAGAAGCATTCCACATCTAGATATAAAACCTGTAATCAAGAACTTAATAATCAATGATTGGCAGACCAAGTGGAATCAATCAACATCCAAACTACGAGAAGTAAAACATTCCATATTACCTTGGAAATCAACCCCAAATAAGCGTAAACATCAAACCATCCTATCTCGTCTGAGAATAGGCCACACCGCCATCACCCATAAACATCTGCTAGAGAGTGAATTAAAACCAAAGTGCAACATATGTGATATTGTGCTCAGTGTTCGCCATATTTTACTGGAGTGTCCTTTATATCGCATGGAGAGACTTCAATATAAATTACAAGATACCTTACAGGCAATATTAAGTGACGGAACTGATATGAAAAATTTGACATCATACTTACATTCCATAAATGTACTAAATAAACTGTAAAACTCTAAATTGTACAACGCCAATGACCCTATGAGGTTGAGGCATAAATAAATAAAAAAAAAAAAAAAAAAAAACATTTCATTCGTAATATGATCAGTTTATGGTATTTTAAAATTTTTTCTAAAAAGCTTTCGTAATATGATCAGCCCATTGTATTTTAAAAATGCTTCTAAAAACTTTCGTAATATGATCAGCCCACGGCATTTTAAAAATTCTTCTAAAAAGCTTCCAGTTTACTTATGAGGTCAATATTAACTTTATGTTAATTAATTATCTTGATTAATTTTTCTTATGGTCTCTTTAAAATTGTCCATTCCAATTCTACGATTTTCATTTCTACCATATTGACTTTGTCTAATTCTCAATTCACTGTCTGCATCAACAGTTTCTCTTATGAAATGGTATTTTTAAGCAGTTTCACATTTCTCACTGCAGGTTTTTGCTGTTACCTTTGTGTTTTATTTATCGGTATTATAGGTAATGGATTTTGGGAACAGCTATGACCTTGAAAATGCCACAAAGAATATAACTAAATATCTCTTTTCTTACTCATACTTTAAAGTCTTTTACAATATTTTAGAATCGAAGAGATGTAATTATATTATTAATGTATTGGATTTTGACAAGAGCTATGCATTATGCCTATTTAGTACACAAGTTTATGTGAAATATTCAAGGTCATAGCAGTTCCCAAAATCCATTACCTCTAATACCTATGTTATTGATACAGAAATATCAATAACAGCTTGATGGTCAAAATTAGTGCCATATTCAAGGTACTTTGTCATACATTTGATGGCCGTTTTTGATGGTTCCCTGTATTTGATTTTTATCCTGGGCCCGTCTGGTCCAAAGATCTCAGCTCTCATAACTGAAGCTGAAGCTTATTGTGTTTGCTGCCCATTGTTGTATCCTACACTTAGTTTAGAATTTTGTACCCTGTAGAAGTTTGTACAGGTATTTTGCTTGGTGTGTCCTAAATATACCAGGGCCTCTTCTTGGTTTGTATCTGATATTAATCCTTTTTTTCTTCGTCTGTATGGTCGTCTTGGTTTATTTTTTCCGTATAAATGTGTAAACCTAAATTTGGTTTAACGATGTACGTGTTCTATCTATGTTTCTATCATAGCAGCTATTAAAGTATATTTTTTGTTTTAAACGGATTCTAAATATGTGTTATATTCTTAAATTTCTATTCACGTCCTTATTGTATATTTTAACTGTTTTAATAATGAAACTAAAAAATCCGTATACTAAAAATATGTAGGTGCATAGGGTATACAAAATTCTTTGTATTCGGAGCAACTACTCTTATAAAACCAAGAAACTTTTAAAATTAACAAATTAATATGACTAAATTCTCGTTTCTTATATCCTTTTAATTCCAGATATAAGAAAAGAGGCTATACACAACGCACTACAAAGATTAGACATTGATACTGAAGATTCCATAACGTCCGGTACACTAAAAATCGAAAATATATCTTTATACACAAAAAGTATGAGTTCTAGAGCTTCTCAGCAGCTTAACAGCTATTACGTTTGCGTGGCCCACTACGGAACTACTGTTTATGCAACAAAAACAGTTCAGCAGTATTTCAATACAATAATTAAATTTGAAGATATTTTCACTTTCGAGAATATTAATTCAGATTTTGAAGTAACAGTTAGCATTTACGGACTTCAGCAAAAGATGCCACAAGTAAGTTATGTTTGATCATTTTTTATTTCCATTTTGTTCACGTTATATCTAATGATATTTTAAATTAGATTCTGATTATTTTGGCATTATTTATTAATTGAAAATATGTTAACGTTTGAATTTCCACTTAGGAAATGGTTTTTAATATAATTCTTGTCTGGGGTACTTAATGATGAGACCTTTGTACCAAATCTCTTCTTTATTAAATCCTACCAAGAACTTACACATATACTCTACATAAAAGCCAGCAACTTTTTTATATGAAGTATAAAGTAACTTTAAAACAATAAGTTGCTTATTGGTCGTAGATAAAATATAGTACGTAAATCGAAATCAATTGATGTGTCATATGCTAGGATTCGGCTAGTTGTTTATTTTGTACTCAATCAGAGACCTTCTTTAGTTCAATAAAGCAAATTTACCTTCTCTCTTCAATCCTGACCCCCAGGGGGAGTGTAGTGGTCGACGTGATGTCGTGTATTGTCCGTCTCCAGAGATCTCTGTCTCTGGTCATTTCTTTTAATTCATGCATAGGTCTTTGGCATATTCCTGTAATTTGATCTATCCATCTTGTTGGGGATCTTCCTCGTGATCTTCGGCCTTCTACCTTTCCTTGTATTATGAGTCTTTCCATGTTTTCTGTGTTTGCTCTCATAACATGCCCAAAATATTTTAATTGTTGGAGATGGACTTTACTAGAGAGTCGTTGGCTAACTTTTAGCTCTCTTAAAATTGAATTATTTGTTCTACGGTCGGTCCAAGGAATTCGTAACATTCGTCTCCAACAGAACATTTCAGTGGCGTCTATCTTTCTTCTCTCCGATTGTCTCAGAGTCCAAGATTCACATCCGTAGGTCAGTATTGGGAATATTAAGCAGTTGATCAACCTCATCTTTATCGCTCTTGAAATCCCAAACAGCACAGTACGTTTTAAGTACGTACAATTTTGGTACTGTACGTACATGATGTAAAATGTACGTTTTAAGTACGTACATTGGGGTACATACCAGTACGTACAGAAGAGTACGTACTTATTACGTCTTAAGTATGTACATACCAGTACGTACAGAAGAGTACGTACTTATTACGTCTTAAGTATGTACCATGAGAAAGAAGAGTTAAAGCATATTTATTATGTTAGGTTATGTTAACCTAACCTAATTTATTTAGTTAGGAATTTTACACCTCGAGTACAGTTGTGATGTGATAATTCATTGCAAGACAGTTTCATTTAGATTTTTTTTACTTATTTTTGGTGTTTGGTGCTTGTGGTTTCCTGTTATTTTATTCAGTCGAGTGTTTTTTGTGTCAAAAATGTAGTGATAAGAAAGTGGCGGAGCAAGAAATTGGACGATGGTTGAAGAGAGTCGGGGATCGCTTAAAAACTTTCTTTCTTATTTTTAAAAGAATAAAAATTGAATTTATTTAAAAAAAAATAAAAATATATTCACCTATATTTACTTTTATTTACATAAATCATCATAAGTGTGTATAGTATGTACATAATATATATATATATATATATATATATATATATATATATATATATATATATATATAGTATGTACTAAGTACATACATTCAATATGTACTAGTTACGTACTTTCAGTACGTACTAGGTACGTACCATAATTTGGAAAATGTACGTTTTATGTACGTATTAAGTACGTACTTCGTACAGCAAAGTACGTACATTGTACGTACTTTATGTCCCATCAGTACGTACTTAGTATGTCTTATGTACGTACTTGTGCTTACTGGGATTTGACAGTCCTTCCATATTTTGGTCATTTTTGCTGTGGCAACTTTTGCTAGATCACTTCTACGTTTAATCTCTTCTTGTAATGACCCTGTGTTTGTGATTAATGATCCCAGATATAAGTGTGAGCTCACAACCTCGAACCCGTCAATTGTGGTTATGTCTGGATGATTGTTGTGTAGTCTATCCACTATCATGATCTTTGGCTTTGATATGTTTAATTGCAGACGAAATATTTGACTTTCGTTTTGGATCAGTCGTATAAGTTCCATCAGCTCTGCTTGACTATTTGCAAGAATTGCTGTGTCATCACGAAACGTAGGTTGTTTAGTTTATGACTATTTATTGAGATGCCCTTTTCCCATCCTTCAAGTGCTCTTCGCATAATATACTCCCCATATATGTTGAATAATTGTGGAGATAGTATACATCCTTGTCTGACACCCCGTTCTGGATGAAACTGGTTCGAAAGTGTGTCAAGTACTTTAACTGATCCAGTAGTGTGTTCATATAGTTCAGTTATAAGCGTAATTAGATGTTGTGGTACTCCTAAATTTACCTTAAAGCGTGTCGATTATCATTCATACTGTCACGTGATATCTCGTGTGTCTATATGGGTTTATTATTAAGATGCTGTATAGTGATCTTTTGATACTCACTACCTTGTTTGTTTTTTCTACCTTAATTTATTTACTATATCCTCTCCTGGTTCACACGCTTCAGTTGGACCAATAACAATGGAAATAATATGATGCCATATTTTGTTTTTTCTGTGTCAACATCTTCGCTATCCCCTTTCCTTTCCAACAACGTTTCATACGTCTCGATACGACAAACTATTCTACCCTCACCCAGCTAAAAATGCCACAAAAGAATTTTCTGACTACACCCTGTATATCAATATATTTATCTACACACCTGTTACGTCAGCTGCTAGTTGACAAATGGTTACGGTCTTGACTAAGGTTCATGTTTTGACTAAACTTAGCCGGTAATGCAGATTCAACGCTTACCGACATTGGCGCTAGAATTGGACTTTGACCTTCTGGCACAAGTAGCCCATACTCTACTTTAAATATAAAGTATTTATATACACAGGGTGTAACAAAAAGGTAGGTCATGAATTAAATCATGTATTTTGGGACCAAAACTAGTTCAATTGAACCTAACTTACCTTAGTATAAATGTGCAGATAAAAGAGTTACAGCCCTTTGGTGTTACAAAATAAGTATTGGTTTATTTTTAATTTTCCAATCCATGAAAATAGACATGTGGCTTTCTTATGGCAGGATTGTTGAAAATAAAATAATATTGAAATTTGTACACCAGAAAAAAATTTCATGGTTTTGTTCCCTTACACCCCCCTCCAAATGTTTGTAAACGTAATTCTCCAGGCCTAGAAGGCCCATGGCTTAGTTTACTATTCTTTTTCATTCTTTTTTGTTTGCTGCTTTATTTCCCCAGTTTGGGATTTTAAGTACTTCTATATCTTTATCAACATCCTTTTTCAACTAAGTTTTCGATCTACCTTTCTTCTTTGTTCATATTCCTCCCGTTAGTATTCTTTTGGGTAGTCTTGTATTTCAAATCCTTTGGATATGTCCCAACGATCTGTCTTTGTGATTTTATGATTGCTATGATATTTGGTCCTCCATACATCTTCTCATAGCTTTCCTTAAAATATTTTGTTGATAATTTTTTTCCCATTTTAATTTACCTTCATTGTATTTTATTTTCGTAGATCTTATAATTATTTTGGCCTGTTTTCTTTGTTCATTGTATTTTCTTTTTATCTGTGGCGTTTTTCTTTTATCATTTGGAATATTAATATATTTCGTTTATACAGTTCTATTTTACATTCCTCATCGAACTATACTTTATCTTTCTCTTTTATATTTCTATTACTGGATTAAGCTACTTTGCTCATACATGCTTTTATTAGCATCCATGTTTGTTCGATATTTCCATTTTCTGTTGTATTATCTAATTCTCTGATGACTATTTTTTTATATTTACTTTGTTCTTCTTATGGCAACAGGATTTTCCGTTGGTTTCTAAGAACTAATATGAGGTGCTTTATTTGTATTAGAAGAATACATTTATCAAACAACTTTAAACAACAAATTTATTATTAACAAATTTTCACTCCGATTTTACTTGATGTTGAAGTACTGTTCATATCAAGTATTAGTTGTCATTCTTCATATCGGGAAGCATATGGAGCTTCATCGATCTGTTATTTTCCTTTTTGATGAAGGGACACTATTTTGTGTAGTTCTTAAGGATCACTATTCTATACTTCCCCATTGGAACAATTTTGAAATTTCCACGATAATCTTTTGGAGAGGATGTTGCGGTCCTACTCTTTTTTGCAATTTTGCATGAGTACTTTTGGCATAGTCCTTTTAACAGCCTGGGTTGCATCAGTTCTCTCGAAAAGTGGCTAAAAGTTACCGTGTTATTAACAGGCTGCTTCCTTATATACCTTACCTCATGAACGCGGGTTCATATTCAGCTATACATGTATAGTTCTTTATTTTATATTGGTTAATAGTACGTGTAGTAGAAATACACTCCCCTGAAAAGCAGATGCGCCGTCATAACAATAAGTCTAGCGGCGTCCATGCTCATGTTCCTTGGTTAAATTTAAGATAAGCATTGTCAAGGTGCATAAAGTTCCACGATGTTTTTGTAACTCAAAGTATGGAAATCGTACTTAGTTAAAGTTGGTTTTAATGTTGTGGGTACTAGTAACTCTTTTTTAGTCTGCGGAATATCATTTTTGGAAGTAGCTTCATTAGCTTTTTTATCTTTAGAATCACCATTTTTTCTTTTTAAGTTTTATCAATCTTCATTGGTTTGCTTACGTGTATGATCGAAATAAGGGCTTGTAAATACAGTGCTTCCAATGTAGCTATATCAGGCATCATATAAAAATAACTGCTGCTTGATGTCTCCAGGAGACTGTTGGATCCGGCATAATACGTTTACCTTACGAGTTGTTCTCTGGTAGTAGTGTGTTTGGCTCAAGGCTCATTATCACGTTAAGGTACTTACTTTATCGTGTCCGGATATGTCATTCATAAAATTTCGGCCCAGTATCGGGCTACGTCGGTTCCATCTTTGTTGGCGAGCCACAAATCTTCAAGGGTACATCGATGAGGACAGTTTCTGCATGTAAGAAGATGTTCCATATTCTGTGTTTCTCCACAGTCACAGTTCACATCATCTTGGTCTATTTTTCCCCATTTTGCCATGTTTGATTTTACTGTAGCAACCCCGCTCTTATCCTATTCAAGGTTTTCCACGTTTTAAAGTCTAGGGCTGGCCGGTCCATTGAACCTGGGGAAGTGTAAAATAGTCAGGCGGTTCATCCTGCACTGTTCCAAGGAAGCTTTTCCTAGATTTTAGTCGCTTTCGTGGTGTTCGAGCTTTGTATAGGGCATGCTGATCGTCCGCGATCTGTTTAATTTTCTCTATGTGTTCTGCAGCGCCTCTGCGTGTTGAGGGTTCTGCAAAACCCGCTTTTCTATATAGATTTGAAAGTGGCGTTGGTTTCATGCACCCCGTTACTATCCTGCATGTCTCATTTAGCGCAGTATCAACGTGTTTGGTGTGGGCAGATCTGCTCCAAACGAGGCATGCATATTCAGCAGTTGAAAAACACAGTGCCTGTGCCGTTGTTCTTAAAACGCCAGGACGTGCCCCCCATTTACTTCCCGTTAGCTTTCTGAGTATGCTGTTCCTAGTTGTTACTTTCCCTCTTGTTTTTATGTAATGTTGTCTGTAGGTGAGGGATCGGTCCAGAGTTACTCCAAGATATATAGGTTGGTTTGTGTGTTCTAATGCATTACAATTCCACACAATTTGGAGTTTTCGCTTGGCTTCCTTTGTGCGAAGGTGGAAAGCGCAGACTTGGGTTTTAGAGGGATTGGGTCTCAGAGAATTCTGCAGGTAGTACGCTGTCATTGTTTTTAAGGCTGTTTCGAGTTTTTCCTCCACTTCTTCAAAACTATCTCCTTGAGCACATATTGCAAGATCGTCAGCATAGAGGAAGTGCTTGGTTTCGGTCGGAGTAGGTTGGTCGTTTGTGTATATATTGAAGAGCATTGGTGCTAAAACACTTCCCTGTAGGAGGCCGTTTTTTTGAACTCTCTATCTACTTACTGGATCTAGTTCTTTGGACTCACTGGATATCCCGGGAACATATTGTTGTCTACATCCTCTAGGGATAGTTTTTCTAGACACATTTTTGAGTACCTCTACGAATTTTTCGTAGTTCTCTACTTTTGGTTCAAGGCGTAGTAGTTCAAAATCTAGCATGTCTGCATACTTCTGCCAGTTTGCCTTTTTGAAGTTAAATCTTCTGAATGGAATAGCTTGTGGTCTGACAATTGGGAAGATATTTATACCAATTGGTCTATGCTGAGTTTTTGGTATGGGGCCATGGACATCACGTTAAGGTGGAATAGCACGACTGACAGTTTCTGCTAATCTTCTTTTAATTTTCTCTTTCATTACTCGTATTTTTTTGTTTAATATTTTTGTTTTTTTCATATTTGATGTAATCATCATTATCTACTACACTATAATAATGCAAAGTCGCTTACTTGGTAACTTATCCTGATTATAATAAACTGACTTCAACAAATTAATGTAATTCCTTGATTTACATCTGTGAACTGTTTCCCAATCTCATCGTTCATTATTCTAATAATAGCAGGTAGAAGAAGATTTAGGGTATGGGAATGATATGTACATTTGTTTATCTAACTATAGCAAAATAGAACTTTTTTCCATTGTTGTGCAAGTACAGGTACTAAATTATGCGCATCAAATTAGTTTCTTTCTGAGAAGTTACTCTGAGACTAAGATAATTTAATTTATATAATACGACAAATATATTAACATGTACTTATTTTATTTTTAAGCATTCAATATGGCCACCAAAAATAAAGGGACTAAAATTACCTCTGCCTAACATTGTAAAAGAATCATTTTTCGTTCTGTGGGGTACACGCACCATCAGACCTTGTCAAAGACATTATAGTATATACGATCTCCAGAAAACTCCATTAGACTCACCGATCGTTAGTACATTCAAAGCAAACGTTACCATTGATTTCGTTATTCGTGTGAGAGAGACAGGATACCTCACTTTAGGTATCGTAATCCAAGACTACATCCGTTGGGACGAAAAGTGGTGTATATTAGAAGGATATAAACTAAAATATTGGGACTCTCAACAGGATGCAATCAGTCGTTCACCGGAGGGTGAGATAAATTTGAAAAGTTGTGTTTCGTATCAACTTGATGATGATCTTGATGAAGATATCTGCCCAAATCCTACAACTGTATGTATAACTATCAAAGATGAAAGAAACAAGAGAAAATATTTTTTCTTATCCACTGATGACCTCGCTGACTTCGAAAAATGGACCCAACAGATAAACACTGTATTCTTTCACTTGAAAAAATGGACTCAGGGTGGCAATCGTCGACGATAATTTATAATTATTTATTGAAACATTTCAATAATTTTTACAGGACCTGGATTTTTTTACAAATTGGATGTTAATTCGATTATGTCCGTACGTAAAACATTAAATTTTAGTACTTATCTTAAAACTCTAATGAAAGTAACATTAAAAATACATTGGATATGTTTTTACTGTAATGTTTTTTGTTCGAAATAAAAAAAAGTTCGAAATAAATTTTTCGTTTTATTCTATAGTTTATTTTTATGAACGAGAGAGTAATTAGCATAATTTTAACTGGTACCTTCGACCACTCCATGGGCGTGCTCAAGATTAATTGAAAAATTACTTTGAATAATTGTAAAAAATAAATGAATTATTTCAGTGTTATAAAGTGTTATGTGTATGTAAACAAAAGTGACCTCTTTTATCACACACTATATTAGAACTGACTGGCCTACATTAAAAAGGGTTTTAAAAAATTCACATTTTTTTTTAATTTTTAAAAATTACAAAAGAGAAAAAGAGTTTTTAAAACCGTCTAAGGTATGTTAAATAGATGAATAAAAATATTAATATAAAACTTACAGCTACTTGTTACAAATCCAAATCAGATTCAGAAGATGAACTTTCAGAACCAAGATTTATAATAACTGGCTCGATCATTTTATCAGTAATATTGTCCAGCTTCCACATTTTTTCCTCTTCTTTAATAGTGTGATTTACTGCCTTTTCCCAGTTTTCAGGTTTTACATTATTTACGGCCTCCAAAAACAACTGTTTAACATCATGAATTTTAAAAGTGGTATTTTTTCTTGAAACTTCACTCTTTATCTGTGCCCATACCAGTTCAATCGGGTTTAATTCACAATGATATGGTGGGGATCTAAGTACTGTCATTCCACGATTTTTGGCAATTTCATCAATTTCGTATTTTTTAAATTTTTCTTTATGAAGGGCACACAACGAATAAAGTTCCTTTCTTATAGATCCGGGATGGTACGTAATATTTTTTGAACTCAGCCAATTCTGCAAGTCTTTTTTTAACCACTTGGTTGTGGGCAGTCCTTCTATAAGTCTGGAGTGATAACTTGCATTATCCATTACTATTACACAGTTCTTAGGAAGAAGATCTATCATTTGTTCGAACCATTCTTGAAAGACATCAGCGTTCATGTCTTCATGGTAGTCACCGGTACGAGTTGATTCAAAAGTTAATAAACCACCTTCAACAAAACCGTCTGAACTGCCAATGTGTACTATTATCAGCCTGCGTCCCTTTCCTGATGGTGGGTTTAAACCAGTAGATAAGTTATTTACAAAAGCGTGCCTTTGACTTGTAACAGTTTCATCCTGCCAAAATTTATTTGGTGTATGACCCTCGTTGATCCATGTTTCATCAAGATAAAATATTTTTCTTTTTTGGTTTCTCATTTCCTTTATGGTTCTTAGAAAATGTCTTCTCCATATGACAATATCGCTTCTTTCTAATAAAATAGACTTTCTGGGATTCTTTTTCCAGCGGAAGCCTATTTCTTTTAAAAGTTTCCATAACGTACTTCGACTCATTTCTGGGTAATCCTTATCATCTCGAACTGAGACAAGAACTTTATCCAATGTTGGAAATTCTTGTCTAAAGAAGAATTCATGCACTTTCCGTCGAAGTCCTTCTTTAAAATGATATTCTATTTGAAATTTTGGTTTCCCTGGAGCATTACGTGGCATTTGAAAACTACCACATTTCTCTTCTTTAATAACTCTGTAAATCGTAGATTTCCCAACACCAAGTGTACTGCTAACTAACTCAACGGTCTCATCAACACTTTCACATAAACGTTTGTCTGTAAATGATTTAAAACAATTAAATATTAATGTTTTTTCATTAACTGTTAAAGGACCAATTTTTCGGCGTTTACACGGCACTTCCAAATTTTCCATAACACTAGTATACACAATAAACTGCACCTTGCAACTGAAGTACCTACTTTTAGTGAACTGTTAAGAATTTTGAATACGCCACTTGGACCTTCCTACAAAATGGAAAAACCCACTATCACATTTTCTGTGGAATAAGTTTAGAAGGTAATTATCTAGTCAATTACTGTCGTAGATTCCTGGAATTAAAGAATTAAATGTTTGATTGTTGAAACCCTTACTTCGTGGAATGCACTCATTTCAGATAAAATAAAACGTTTTATTTTATCTAAAGAATTAAACTTTATTTTGCAAATAGGTAGGTACTTATTAAACTTTTATTGGTTATATATAACCAATAAAATAAACATCTTACATTTCTTGCAAATTCATTAGTACCTGTTAACCTCCATCACTCCGACACTGGCAACCTTATTTAGGGATTAGTAACCCTCACAACTATTGTATTCTATTCTGCTCCAACCTTTATACCTGGTGGTCATACTCAATTTAAAATTGTTTTCCTATATACTTCTGTAAACTTGTTGACAAATATCTGTTTTTCATTGAGTCACCCGTATCAACAGTTTAGGGATTTGCATACATAATTTATTGTTTTATTACTCTCTCATACATAAAAATACACTATAGTTTGTAGTCTTGTAGTTAACTCTAATCATAACCTGATATTACTGATAGATCATAATTACTTAACAAAAATTAAAGAAGTGCTGTTATTAGTACAAGCAGAGAATAAATTCGGCAAGGAGACAGAATAGAGACATTAATCACAACCATTTTATATTTTGTGTGCAAAAATATTTGTTGACTGCAATGTAAAAATCTTTTAGTGATAACGTCATTTTTCATTAATAGTGATTTAAACATAATTGATGTATTATAACAAAATGTAATTAATAAACTCTCACTGAGTTTTGAATTTTAGTATTTTTAGTACCCTGGAAAGAGGTATCACTGATTTTAAGGACACGATTTTTCATTTCTTTAACTAAATTAAGTTTTATTGAATATTTATGGTATATAAATGAAAAATCGTGTCCTTAAAATCAGTGATACCTCTTTCCATACAAAAAATCTAAAAATCCTTTATAACCTGTTCATTGAAAACTCATACCCAAGTATACTCCTAAAGAAAATTTTGTTTAACACTCCACAAAATTTAAATAGTCATTTAAGAAACGAAGAAAATATGTCTTTATCACAAGATAGGATTTTATCTGTAGATCCTTTACAAAACCAAACCAGAATTAGATATGTATCTCTTCCATACATTAAGGACATTGGGCATAAACTAAGTAGAATTTTTTCATCAATTAATAATATCAAAATTGCATATAAAACGGTACTAACAGTTAACAAAGTTTTTTCTAAACTTAAAGACCAATCCGCACTCTTATCCTTAACGGATGTTGTTTATTGTATACCGTGCGGCTCATGTGAACAAGTATACTATGGTCAAACATCAAGATGCCTTAAAGACCGCATTACATCCCACAAGTCTGATAATAGACTACATCCTGAAAGAAGTGCATTGGGTGAACATGCATTTAAAAATGGGCATCGGATAAACTACAATAACATCAAAGTAGTAGAACAGGAAAGTAACATCACCAAAAGACTTTTTCTGGAAATGGCCTACATTTGCCAAAATAATAATGCAATGAATCATAGAACAGATATTGGCCATCTAAATGAAATGTTCTCCTATTTGTTACTACTAGATAAATGCAACAATAAGACAAACAATAATTTATCAATTGACATTTAAGTAATTAAAAAGTTCATTTTTGAGGAATTTATTATTTTTTTTTTACAAAGTTAGTTTGTTTAAATGTATATATATATATATATATATATATATATATATATATATATATATATAATATATATATATATATATATATATATATATAGATATATAGACTTCCGATACAAATCAAATTGCACGATTTGAAACAGTATCTATTTCTGTAGTTATTGGGTTGCTAGTGACACCTTAAGGCAATTTGCAGTATTTTAAATTCTGTGTCATGTTACGAAATAGTTGGACCCTTTTCAGGGTTGGTAAATATTGTGGTAATACGGCTTGAGGGATGAAACGGTCTCCCAAAAATAGAATTTTCTCAAAGCATCAGATATAGTTTATCTCTTCTACCCTTGGAAAATATAATAAATCCCCCAATAATGGTTTCGTCTCTTCGATTATTCCTTTTGAAGTAGGCCATTAAGGAATATATGAATCTTAGATATACAGGTCGCGGGCTTGTTTTTAGATTTTCCACAAACATTAAGCAAATTTTTATTGGCATCGCAAATTTTTGTGGTATAGAGGTTGAAAGTAATAGATCAAATGATCATAAATACTAGGTACGTTTTACATATTAGTGTTTATTAAAGGAAAAGGTGGTAGCATGGTGTTAAGAACTTGTACATTCTAATTATGTTAGTTAAAACTAACAATTTGGGTTTATTAATAAAGTTTTTCTAGTGATGTGTTATAATTATTAATAAATTATGAATAATAATCCATTTGCAATTGCCACCAAATAGACTTTGAACACTTAAACTTACACTTAAAAATTGGAAGAGAAAATTAAATTGGCTAAATAATTAATCGGCGTGCGATATTAAAGTTGAATTATAAAGGGATTTTAATAAAGATGATGTTGACGATGAAACAAGAAATATTTGATAATATGCATTTCTTTAAAAACATGGCTGACTACATAAAGATTGTTATACATTACCACATTATTTTTATACATTCTTGCTCAGTTGAATGAAAAGTCATGGCATTGGTTCAATTGATTTTTTAAACGGCCATTTCGACGATGATCTGGCACCCCCTTCTTTCAGTTCACAACATTAAAGGCTCGTTTCTTAAACCATTTAGCGAAAGGTTGTTTATTCATGATTTCACTATAGTAGGGTGACAATCAAAGATGGGTGTTCTTAATTGGAAGGTAATTGTGTACTTATCCATTTAGTAAATATTGTACTATTCAGTTTGCTGTGATAATCTGCAGTCAAGGATTTAGTACAAAGTAGCAAATAGTAACAATTTATCTCACTTCACGTCGAACCTTTGTCGTTAA